ATGATTTTATCCCCTTAATATGCGCCAACTCAATCACACAGTGCTCCAAAGGGAAACACAGACCACATTGTCTCCCAGTTGCGCTTCTGTAGCCTGAAATTCGGTTCACACTAACGTTCAATATACGCACTTTAATGTAGACCAGAAAATAGATTAGACTTGCAGGTACTTTAGAGAATTTTAACTGATGAATGCTGCCTGACTGAGACACGACTTCAGGATTCAAACGTAGCCTACCGGTAGTCGTCAGTAACCCACCCACAAACTCAATTCATTCACTGTCTTATTGGAGACGATAAGTCTGTCGCACCTGGGTACCCTGGTGTTGGGGTCGCGCTCAAGGTCGCCCCTTTGATTAGATTCCAATAAGCAGTCATCCTTGTGTCATGAAGCTCCGCGCCTTTTGCAGGGTTAACAGACGTTGAGTCGACAAATGTGCTCTTTTTGTGATCACAGCCTACTGGCTTCATCTCGGATACAGTTAAGCACAAATTCCAGCAAAACCATCATGAGCTCCTAACGGCGTCTAAAACGGAAATCATCACCATGGTAGGAGATATCTACTCACGTGCCGGTCGGTCGCAGTCATGTGAACGCCACCTCGAGGGAACGCATGGATATGATGATGTGCGCTCTGACAATGGGGATTTTGATCAGTCGAGGTGCTGACCACCAGCTTTTCCTCTACAGAATGAGCTGTTGCCACCCTGAACACCATAATACTACCTGGCGTCTTTCATCATCCCCCTAGTGTTGGTCGCAAATTGACAAAAGAGCCATAAGTCACAGGTGGCGTGGCAGCATTCGGGATTGCCTGTCAACTTGTCCCATATGTCAGAGTAAGACACTGACGACGTGGCAGTGCATGTCCCACTATCTTTACAAATTCACAAGAAGCTATGAAGATATCTACTTTGGGCGAATTGTCTGAAGTCTAGGCGTCAGATTAAAGGAATACATCCACAATTGGTTACGCAACCCGATGGGATCCGTAATGGTACGATCGGTTTAGTCAGGAAGCCGAGTTGCCTCGGCAGCCACAAGGAACCTGCCGACCACCAGCGAGCAAATCAATTCTGATGAGTCGTACACCGTCTTAATAGGTGACGGGCGGCCATTGTTATCGATCGCGAACGTCCACTGTTGAGAATTGAAAAACAACGGATTGGGGCTCTAAGCCTACTCTGGTGGGGCAAAAGTCCGTCCATCTACGCTCTCATACGGCGACGCCATCACACAAATTACGCCTTTTGATTCTCCTATTTGTGCCTCCAAAAGCCAAAATTTTCTTCGGCAGCTGTCTGGGTTAACCTTGACCTACCTTGTGACAAAGCAGTGTCACAGAGGTTTGCGTAATCCTGAATGCCGAATTGTAATGACGATGCTTCCAAATTCAGAAAATGAGCTGTCTCTAAGTGAGTATGCACCACGATATCGGCATCTTACATGGCCACGTTCTCCACGCAATTCAGTAGACGCAGCATCCAATGCCGGAAGGTTAACGGGGTACCAGACAAACCAGACGACATCCTCCCAAACTGGTACTGCTTCTCGCTAACTGATAATGCAGTCATCTCCCAGTCTTTCCGTGTGATCACCAACTGCTAGCAGACAGATCACAGGTGCAGTACGGTATCTTTGACTGCTGCAATCTGTCGAAGAGCCTGAGAACGATGGTACGGAAATGAAAGGAGATTTCATTTAGAGTCGGTACTACTTGTTCGCCTTTTTCAACAAAAGGAATGGAGACTTATACGAATTATGAGTCCCATGGATGACACCTGCATTCAACATCCTTGCACCTGTCTCTTGACTCCCAACTGCAAGTGAGTTGCTGCTCTCCATGGTTTATGCGGTCGATAAATCTGACGCGACAGCGGAATTGTGTTTGACCCAAACACAAAACCCGTAAGGACCACTGTCATCCTTAGAGAGAAGGTATTGGCTGGTGAGTGATTGCAAGGTCAGACGCGTGTAAAGTGGAAACCATCGAGCACAACTGTATGGATTGTTCTCCACCAGCTTTAGGTCGACAATGGCTTCACTGAGTTGGGGAGTCGGCCCCAGAGTGCTTTGTTTTGCGTTGGGTGATACGACGAGGACGTGACCCAGCTTACGTCCTCTGATACTAGCGTGCCTCGTTATGACTTTTATGCGCACTCTGTAACCACCGACAGATCTCAAGACCATGGAACACGATTCAAGTAACTCGTCATCGAGATAACTGCTCAGGAACAATGCAGCTCCCTTGTCAACCAATTTCATCGTGCTGTCTACTTCTAAGGTCGCTCCCTATTCAGTGCCCCGAGTATGAATCTATCGATAGGAGAAGGAAAACAAGATAGGACGCACTAAATTGATACAAAGGACAAAGTACGCCTCAACGGGCATCGTCCCCTCCAGTGTCCCGATTTTCCACAAAGAAAGCAACATTGTTCTTCTGGGCATTGGACAAGCGCATAGACGTCTTGCGCGAGCTGCCCCATCATTCGCTCCAGTCTATCCAACCGCTTAACGCCTTCATGGTGTTCCTCTTCCAACGCGGCAAGTGATCGTCGCGAAGCTCACGCTCAATAGGACAAGGTTCTCCATATGCAAACGCACGGGGAGTTCGCAATCCGAACTCGTTCCGTGATCGCATGCGGGAGACCATCCAGGAGCCGGTCTACCAGCAGCTGCCGTCTGGACCTCCATCCACTACTGGCAGCGCTCGATCCAAAAGTCTCTGCGGACAGTGAGGACGAGAGGATCCCCTCCATACCGCACCGGGTCTTCCTGAGCCACTGCATTGCATCCCGGTGACCGGCCGAGTTGTCGAATCCAGCGATCAGCGCCTACTTCGCGGCGGCCCGACTTTACCTGATAGGGGCCTTCGCCTTGTCCCTGAAAAGACTTTGCAGGGCAGTCTGCTTCGCTCACTCTGGTATCACTCTGAGTGCCTCTGCAACGTCCTAGAACTTCCCCAGAAACTTTCTTACGTCCGCATCCTCAAACGACTCTGGCCAAGAACCAACTCTCGCCTAGGGTTGGTCACGTCATGAAATGATGAGAACCCGGTGTGGCATAGACAAGCTGTTAATTGCGATAACACGAACGATTCATTATTGTCATGTTAATTTGCATACATTAGCCCGTGTTGCTATCTCCACGAGCTGCAACGCGTCTTCACCCACTTCGTATTGGTGGTAGTTAGGTGCGCACTTTGCGCACTGCATACGTAGTTAGTCATGATTTTCTGGACTCACTCAAACAAGTCCGTTACCTTCATACCACTCATTAGTGACGGACTACATTGCAACATCAAAACGACCATGTTCGTGTTGCATGGGTAAAGAGTCGGATAAACTGTCCAACATGTTTGGTTAGGTTGTCCAGCTGTATAGCAGCCCGTCATCCTTTACTCTTCTGATGTTCCGATAGATTAATTACAATACAGACTGTTTGTGCCGTACTGTACACATAACCCAGCAACACACGCAAAACTTAAACAGAAACTCGACTAGGCCACTTGGGCTTATTAAGAAAAGCAGGGTGAGGCATCAGCAATAAATCGGCTTCCGTGTCGACGCTCCGCTGCCACGCAACTATCAACAGTCGCATGAAGATTCAGAATACTGCGATGTCGCTTTATCTAGGTAGCTTAGAATCGAAGACCCGTGGATGACGAAGCAGAAAGCTGAATCACTCGGCCAGTCGAGTAGTAGATTGCGTGGACCCCGGTCTGGAGGGCGAGGTGAATAAACGATATCTAAATTAACCGATATTCCTTGCTGACAAGATAACGATCAGATCGTAAAAGGTACGCCTGCAAGGATTTGGTTTGCGAGACAAAATGTCTCGCTAATCAATGAGCGGGATTATGCAGCTCCATGAGCAACAATGACCAAAAATTCTGAGGTACTTCAGATCCACAGAAAAGGGAGTAACAGACAGAAATAGTACAAACTGTACTCTTGTCGTCGTGAACCGGAAGATAAAAAAGGAAATCTTGCTGGCATCAGATGTCGCGGATTCAGTGAGGCAGCACCAGATTTCGTGATACGAGGAAAAATCGCAGTAATGGCATGCTAAACACTACTCCTGAAAGTACCAGGATAGGTGGATCGAATAAATAGCTGTGATTCAAGAAGGTGGGAAGTGACTGGCAACAATGCGACACCTGGGGCGCGGAAGACGATAAAAACTTTTTGATAGATAAAATTGTTGATCAGTTTAGGAGCCGACCACAGTGGCACCTGTTGTGAGTTATTTTGTCCCTCGCCCAACCACAATCGCATTTCTGATGCATAATGCAACTTTGTTCGCAGTACAATAGCCGGCTGCTAGTTCTTCGGAACAATGTCCATCCGTTAATGGCGGCTCAGCTGGCGTGCCTGTGTTGCGTCTTTTTTCTTTCTTACGCATTGCGGCACAATAGCTGAAGTGTTTCCCACTTTTAGTTAACGTATATAACAAGGCATATTATAAATGGCCTTGATATCAATTAGTATTTTATAAGTGTAAGGTGCATGCTATGGTCAACTCCGTGGAATCATGAACTTCAAACATCTAGATTATACGATCCGCGGGCTACAAATTAACCCGTTTGCAATCCGAGATCACATAAGGGAAGAAGATGGGATCAACGGAATGGTCAAAATAGATAACAGCCAAAGGAATTTGGAAAAGTAGGGTTGACCGCGGAATAGGAGGAAGAGAACCGCCAAGTGTACACCACCAGCCAAGCTATAGTGGAAGTGAGCAGGTACTTAGCAGTGGTCTTCGTAAAACGTCGAAACAGGTGTTGCAAGGCTAGAGGAGTTTGACTAGCTATAGAAAAACAAAATGACTAGATGACACATGAAAACGGGTGAAATAAAAGGAAGAAACATCCTAACCTGCAGAAATAAGTTTAAACGCTCGTTAACGTTTAGACAAATAAGCAGAGACCTTTATGAAATCGAGACTATAAGCAAGTGCTCAGCTTTAATAGTTAACATTAAGTTCAGGGGAAAACCAACCTTCATTTCATCTGATTCCAGCCATGACTGGATCTTACGTTTACGTTTCAATGTTTCGGCAGTGTCATCTAAATCCATTAAAAGTGGATTCCGACGTTGTGTAAGTTTGGTAAACGCTGGCAGCAATGGTAAAGTAGTTTTCTTTGCAATGGGCTGAGCATTCTGTCCCGCTTCCACTCGGGGTGTTTTCTTCGGATGGGGTTGGGAGAGTTTCTCTTTTCGAAGAGAGTCCGTTGAATCACTAAACTTAACTCGAGTTTGTGATGGCTTAGCCATTCTGTCGTGATCGAGATCAACGTCTCGAAAAAAACCGTCGTCCTCATCGTCATCCTCTTCGTTTGAGCTAAGATACAAGTCGTCGCGAGTGTCTTTTTTAGCTGTGAGTAAAGAGGAAATAGGAGGTAACGTGACGGAGGAAGGCACTACCAACCATGGCTGGTATGGGAAAGGTGGGTGAATAAAGGACATATGGAGGCACACAAGTAAACACATCACAAATCACGGTTGATAATAGACAAAAACAGTACTAAAAGGTGGGTCATAATTAGCCACTTCAATAAACAGTGTCCAGGAGAACAAAAACGGAGTAAGGCTAAAACGAGTAACAAATAATCAGAATCACAAGATCACAGTGAAGGACCTGTGGGGAGATACTGTGCATTGGTAAGGAGAACATCGCACGATGTTGGTGGAACTGGAATTTGTCCACACATAAGTTGCAGAAAAATCAGCATCAACAACAATAACACAGCATTGCTATGCAGCAATGATATGTTGCCAAACAATCACGATGGTCTTAGTAATGAGAAATAATAAAGAGGAAAAACTGGGACTTGAGGAAAAACCTAAATGCCCCAAGTAAACAATCAAGGTTAAAACATATACAACTTGTAAGAAACATACGGTCACAAACAGCTGATCATAGTGCGAAGATAAAGCGGGGTTGACGAGACAGCTTCTTGCTGATTTCATTGTACCGCGTCCTAATCAGCCTTACTTCACATTTAGCTCAGCATCTGATACGATTAAAACAGGGAATCCGACTAAGAGTATGCAATGAACGCGCGCTTGTTGCCGGCTTGGAGCCATGTCCGGTAACGGTCTAGAGCCAAGCGCGAAGAGGGTCGAATAGAGGTCGACACCGACCAACAGCGCCCAGGTTAGTCGTCAGTAACTGCCGCCTACCGCCAATTAAACTGCTGACCGGCTTGAAACTTGTGCCATCCTACATCCGGCCCTCCTCGGTAAACGGTGAACACGCATACGTAGCACGTGCCCAAGCCTACTTAACATGGTTATTTCTTGCGCTAACAGACTAACCTGCTCATCGCTGCCTACTACCAATCTCCGCATCTCACAATCACTGGCACGTTGGTGTCACTACTCGACAACAGCAATTCCCCTCAAGCAACGGTGAATGAAGACACGGACATTGTTGTAATGCGGCTGCCATGATAGGCAATAGTGAGAAGCAGTGGCGTATCGTTTCAGTGTTGGATCAGAAAGCTGTTCTAAACGAGAAGAGCATATGTTCGAGTGCGCAACGATTTGTGTCAGCCGGGCTCAACAGCGCTTGCATAGCATATAGATGCCAATCAGAAGGAGGTACCATGAAAGTGAAGAGAAAGGGAAACACAGGACATAACCCCTAGCCATGAATTCATGAGAGGTTCGCATAGACGCTAACGTAGCGTGTTACTAGTACCTAGAGCAGGTAAGCAGTGGGAGGTTATGCCCTAGATATCTCACCTGATATGTCATCATCAGCGTACTCGGGTGGGTCCACGTCATCACCACGACGTTCAAAGTGGACCCGTTTACTTCCCTCAATTGCGGAGCGCTGTTCATTCTCATATTTGCTCCTCAATTCTTTGAGCGCGAGTGTATTTTCTTTTCGGACCAAAGCGTCCACACCGGTTTGGCTGGTATCTCCAAACAGCTTCTTTGCTTTTTCCAGACCGACCAAGTCGTGAACTGTGGATAACGAAAACAATTCCTCATCAATCTCCTCAATACGGTCACCAGGATGCTCCATTTTCAGAACCAATCTTTCGGCCAGCTTCATCTTCGCTTTACGAACCCGTTTGAGACGTCTGATGGGAAGAACGAGTGAAAACAAGGTGGAAGTGGCATGACGAGGAATCACTGTGGTAGAATGTTTGAATATTATAGCAAGGTGAGCAGGTTAACAACCTGAAGTGTAAGATAATGTCATAGATCGAACATATGGCTTGATGGAATTAGGGAAATTTCCACAATGCTCACGGGTCTACGGTAGTTGTAGTAGCCGAAACTTCTACAAAGAGTAGCTCATCAATCGCCTAAGAGGTAATGGGGACATGCAGCCGACTGAATCACGGATAGCCGATTAGTAGCACAGTTTAAAAGCGTGGTACAAAAGAAAATGTGAGACGTGTGACTAACTTTGTAAGTCGGTGCACTGAGTATCATACAAAACATGCTATTAAAGGAAAGGGCGGGGTCTGTTTTCGTACATTTTCTTCTAAATCGTCCTCACGAATCATGAGGTGTAACATACATACCAATCAGGCTATGTCACATAGAAACATTGCATATGACAAGTAAAAGTGACAAATAGAAGTGAACGGTCTCTAGTAGTTCAAGCACAGTCGAAGAGAAGCAGTAGTCCGTACGACTACGCCGAGAAACAAGACAAGTCCGATGCAACAGAAAAACGGAGAAGATACTAAGACGGAAATACACTTGAACGTGACTGGAGGATGGGCACCAGCGTGTCGACAACGGTGCTGAAGTCACAGATCCTGTTGCGCGTGCAAACTTCACACTCCATCTAAGCCGTTCAGATTGGGAAAATAGCACGTGACTGAACAGGAGAACCGATAAAGTAGACGAGCGACAGTGGTATGGAGGGCAATTTTGACTAGAATTTCAACATCATCCGCTCTAAAAGTACTCGAAGCACGGGAGCACAATGGCTCTCGCACAACCGATTCTGACATTTGGAACAACTGCAATGGGCAATGATCGCTTCCGGACCGGCCCAGAAGTGTTGTGAAGATGTCAGCTAGAAATTATTCCCTGTTGGATACTATGCGTCCAGCAGGCGCGCTTTTTTGTAAATGACATAGATTCCTGGCTCCATTACCTCCAAGGTAATACACATCATCATCATCATCATCATAAACGTTAGCTAGAGGTGGGGAACACCTCAGCTACTGTGCCGCAAAAGGTAATACACAAGTAAAAGCTGGTTCGAAGTCCCGATTGGTAATCAATTCAAGTCTTAAACATTTCTCTGTCCAACTTGCAGCCATTAGTTATCGGCCTCTGGCCCTTAACCCTTAACAACAAATACACGTCAAGGTCTAATGTTCTAAAAAATGCAATGAGGATTACTTCTTGTGATGTTTCGCCTCTTCGTGGAGCAGGCGTTGAACCTCTTCCTCGATTTCCACATCATCTTTATCCTCATCAGTATCCTCCTCCTGTGCACGCTGCGGTGCACAATTTTTCTCAAGATTAGTGGAATCGGCCCTGGGGAAGTGGAAAATGAAGTAAAATCAAGGAAAATCGATGGTATACTACCAACAATGACCAGAAGGAAGAATATGAATGTGCAATTACTAAAACTGTTAGCAACTTACTGATGACTGGAATCATCTTCCAAAGCTTCGAGTATTTTCTTCCGCCATTTGAGAATTTGTCTAAAAAATACACGAGTTTCAGGAGCGAAACAGTTAAATGATGCGTCTCCATGCAAGGAAACTGAAAGCCCCTAGTTCGATTAGAACACCTTCAGTTGTGCACACCTTTGCACTTACAAAGCGGAAATATGGGGCAACAGGGATAGTATATAGCTTAATAAAAATAAGTCGAAACAGTGAAATCAAGATAACTGCATTTGTGGAGTCAGCTACTTCCAACGGGATACCGAGTGCGTAGTCGACTTAGATATGCCGATCTCGAACACGATGTCTCAGTGGACGGAGTATTATGACTGCAAATAGGACCATGTATTAAGGACTGTTAGTGCTAATAGATGATAAGAATGGCCCGGTCAATCAAGTGACGGATAGAGAGGATGAAGGTGGTATCATACAGTGTAGACGGAGCCGCCTAAAAAACAAGTGATCGAAGCGGAGTAAGATAGTGCGACGCAAGCAAAGAAGATCTGCACCATCAAGCAAAGCAGGCATTCAAGTAAATAAAAGAGCTGTAACACAAAGCGCAGTGCAAAAAAAGCGGCATCACATATGTATCAATACTACCACATCTGTCTCCCATGTGCCCGAATGTTTATAAATTCAATTGCGAGATAATTCCTGGAGACACCAGAAACAGACTAGCGAACCAGCTTGTTTTCAGGGTTTCATCACCAGGCTAATACAACCATGAAGAAGCAGATTGTCGGCCGGTGGCCGAGTGGTCTGCACGTTTGCTTTGCATCCATAAGGTCACGGGTTCGAATCCGCGTAGGGGTGGGCGTCCTCGCGGTATATTCAGCCCGCGCGCGACTGGTGGTGGTCGCGCGGCAGCGAAGCGCCGTCACGGAGTACAGCTGACACATTATTATTATTATTATTATTATTATTATGAGAAAGCAGATTAGAATGGATACAAGAGCTTTAAATTCAGTGAGTTATAGAAACAATCTAGTGGGTAAGACTGCGCGATTGGTCTGACTGATGTGAATTCGGGGGAGGCAGCGTGATCGCCATTGTTAGTCATAACATTTGCCCAGGGCTCGCGCAAGTAACCGAGACAAGTCAAATTATCAATTCTTGTGACTGGGACGGATATCACTGCAGCTGTAAAAATGTACAGTCTTATGGAAGTAGGCAACATGACCCATATATGAGACGCTATTTATCGCCCGCTTTTGCGCTATGACGGCTTTGTGTCTTAGTCGGTTTCAGTTTGAGGTGCATCGCAAATTCAATTTGGGACAGATGCAGCACGTACTTCGGCGTACTGAACACCAAATACTGAGCACTGTATTGTGAGAGAACACATTTAAATTTGCACAACTCCATCTCAATGTGGTAAAAAAATGTGAGAGAAAATACCTATCACCTGTGAATACTCTAATCGTTCGTATTACTTAAAAATATCACTCACTTTATTACAGGGCCCACAAATGTGATATGTTATCACCAGCGTGCAATTATTCCCTGAATCGAATGGTGGGGAGTTGTAAATCCAGTAAAGTTTTGGTTTGCCGTACAGACCTGGCCTCCAAGATATGTATTGGTAAAATGTTCCAAACATTTACCACTCTCTGTTTGAAGTAGAGGGAGTGGGAAACGCCCCATATCCAGCACCAAAAGCTTGGCCGGGGTTCGTGTGTGTCGAGTGGCGCTCGTCTCAACACGGGGAAGCCACTGAAATGTAGCATGCAGTAGGTCACTATGAGATCGACTCGCAGCGCTAGTTTCTCGGTAAGGTCTTCGTACAACGGTCCTTGTAAATGCAGAATCAGCGTGGTAGCGAGTTGCTGGATGTGTTCGATGTTCCCTAGCATTGGTCTTATGGTGGAAGAGAAAAGGCGAGTGGCGATTACTTCATACCAAGTAGAGAAGTTGCGTTTGAGTGCCCAAAACAGGAACAATCCGTTATGTGTAGGCCATGGATTTCAAATCGCAGCGCGACAGTAAGGTAAGGTCTTTCATGGAAAATGCAGGATGTAGCGATTGGCCGTCTAGGATGTAAATTCAGCCATCACCATCTTTCTCCAGGCTCATAAATACCGGGGAAGAGGGTTTCTGCAGACCATTTAGAGAAGCGTTTGAGGTCCTAATACAGTCGTCGAGAGCACCAATTACTCTCCAAACCTTCAGATCGGTTGCAAACAAGAAACAAAGTGATCGGCGAAACTGAGGTAGATCGCTGATGCGGGTCATGAACAGAGTGAGCCAAAGCATCGTGCCTTAGGGTGTTCCACTAGCAGAGGGATACCAGTCGGTAGGATGGCCCTAGACTTGTACTCTCCACTTTCGTCGAACGACAAACTCTCGGATCTACTGGTGCAGTAATCCACCAAAACCGCACCCTCTCAGCCTGTGGAAGACCTCATGGTTCAGGTTGCCGAACGTTTTGCTAAAATCGATGTAGATCATGTTGACAGTCTTCCCCTGGTTCACTGATTGCAACCATTCACGCCTCGTCACCAGTAGGCTGGTAACACATGAGCGGCCGGATGTAAAACCGTGCTGTACAGACGTCAGGATATGTTTGACTGGAGCAGTTGTAGCAAATTCCTCTTCACGATTCTCTCGAGAACGTTGGCCAAAAGATTGCAGATAAGTTGACTTGTAGTTATCTATTTTGCTGGTTTCATTGCCTTCCGGAATCGGCTTTATTACTAAGCGTTTCCAGTCGCCTGGCAATGGACCTACCAACAGCGACATGTTGAACAGGCCAGTCACTACAGGTAAGATGATGGCCGATAAGGACTTGAAAATCAGTGAGTGGAGCCAGCCATGTCCAGCAAGCATGCTACCATTAAGGTTGTGGGGTAGCTGACGCACATTTTCAACACAGCAGTCCAGAATGTCGAGTTCGATAAGCGCGGTACAAGTCAAACCCGGTACAGACACTTGGTCATTTGCAGATACGGAAGTAAAAGACACCGTCAAAGCGGTTGGAAACTAAATGACACGGACAGAACCCGAAACACATCTACAAACGGCATACGTACAACAATCGTGATAGTAATCACGCCGAATCTGCTCGTATGATTAGAAAAGCATCAACAGTAAACTGGTAGGCAGTACCGACATTTTGCTGCCGTGCGACCACCACCAGTCACATGTGGGATAATGCGAGGGTTGCCCAGTACATACGCAAGTTCGGACCCGAGCCCTCGGATTACAAGCAGGCATGTGGTTCTTAAGGTTACGGGCAGGCGGTGTTATGATTAGTAAGCGAATAATACGCACAAGGCGATGACTTCTTCCGCGTACTCGAAGAACGATACGCTGGAGGACTGAATGTTCATTCCCCCTGGACTTGTTTTATAAAAACAATAATGCCACAAGTGAATAAGATCACGATGGGTTGTCATTCTGTCAGCAGACTCAGTGCATGCAGAGTCCGTGCTTGGTGGTCACAGTGTGCTACGGAGATAGAGGCCACCGCCTTCTCCGGAAATACTCGTGAGCCCAGCAAATTCATTCGGTCCACAGTCCACAGGACGTTTGTCAGTGAGGCTATTTTCGAGGCGGATGGGCCGTCGATCGCTAACCTACAGAGGCGCTTGGAACGATGGGTCGAGCACTCTCGTTTCCAATTCAATCGGCCTTCATCGTCTGCATGTGGATTCAATAGCATTCTGTGAGTCGCCTCACAAGATCCACCAGGCGAAGTGAAACGAAGCGAAGCCCATCTTAAGATTCAGAGATTAAAACAATTTAAGGTTGCCTAGTCAGATGGATTTTTCCAGTTGTTCAGATATGGCGAAGTAGTAACCATCCGCCAGCTGACCACACTGTGCTCTAAAAATCGACATCATGAAAAGATGTCCTCTACACAGGGTGTCAGCTATTGACCAGATTTTCAAGGAGGGTGCTCCCACTTCGTGCATCAATCACAAATGCGTCGGTCCAAGTTCCATTCACCCCAAGCTATTCGCATGCATTGTGCTCCGCAGATCATTCCCAATTAGTCAAGCACATTATCGTGAGGTAAAAGCCGGCTTCAATCGCTGTCATCAATCTTCATTATCAGTCAACTCACTGAACGCCGTAACTTCTACCAGAGAACAACCATCGTCACTCTTTTAGGCCCTTGAGCTGTATTCGGTTCGAATGAGGAACAGGGTCCCATGGAAGCATACTGCTGTCCTAGGCCCATTAGAAGTACACTTCTCATGCAGTATGGGTTTACGGTAAGCTTTTCTCGTTCTTCGCTGCCAGCAGCTGTGTACGACAGCACTGACCTGGCTTTCTGCTCCTCTTCAATTTGTATCCGAAGACGTCCTGTTGAAAACTCCGGAAAGTTATCAAGTGCGCGAACGACATTATGCTACTGAATAATAACCCGACGAGTGTTCAGACCACTCTAGAAACTAAAGTGTCAAGGTGTGGTATGCGCTTTGCCCATCGAGGTGAAAAGTGCAGCTCCAGGATTAGCACCCACCTGATTTCGTGCCTACCTTCGAGGGCACACAGCTTGAGGATGCGGATAGCTCTACCTGGAGAGCTGCGTGCCTGTTAACGTCACTATTAGAAAGGAGGGTTCTCTTCACATCGTCAGATGCCTGTAGGTTTCTGTTAGTCTGAGACATTGTGGTGTCATTCCGATGTCCTACTCAATAAGAAGCGGAGTTCAAAACACTTTCGTCCGATCGATGTTGTTGAGTAGAAGCGAATACTGACCAGCTCGCGTGGATGACCGGCACCGGTCTCGGCGTACGATAATATATATTTCAGAGGGATTGTTCGTGTGTGGTAGTAACACCGCGTTTGCAGCGACGTATATTGGGAATGCCAGTAGCCCTACAACAAGTTGTTTCTGTTGCGCCAATTGCGACGGCTCGATCATATCCTGCATACTGGTTTCTCGTATCAGAATGGGCTGAAAGAGACCATGGTGGTTAGCCAGCTACTTAGTGACAGTACATGAGGTCACCGACACCACGTCCACTCACTATTGGATTTATGCATCTTCATGATTAGGGGTCCACGAAGGAGCGATGCAGATTGTT